GCGGACAGATACAACTGCGTATCGTCCGCATATTGGTGGTACTTAATCCATGCCAATGTATGATCTCACCCAGCGGCTTCATGTAGAGGTGGGACAGGACCGAACCCTGCGGCACCACATAATTGAGGGGCCTTGGGGTCGACTTCTGCCCTCCGATCAACACCGACTGCGACCTGTCCGAGAGGTAGGAAGAGAACCACTGGAGGACAGTGCCTCCCACTCCCACCTCTTGCAACCGTCACAGAAGGATACCTTGGTCGATCAAAGGCTCCTGAGAGGTCAAGGAGCACAAGGATAGAGGGGTGACCCCTATCCCTGGCTCGCCAGAGATCATCGATCAGCGCGACCAAAGCAGTTTCCATGCTGTAACCAGGCCTGAAACCCGACTGAAAGGGATCCAGGATGTGTGCATAGGTTTCGTACATCAGCTTTATGTAAAGAAGCATTATAGGACTGGTAATGATATTGTGAGGTCAGATAAATTACCAATCTTGTGGTACAATTACAGTGAATATTAGACAAGATATACTCTTTTTCAATCATTAAATAACATTCCAGAAAGAGTTGTCATTCTCTAGGGCAGTGGTCTCCAACTTTTCTGGCTTTCTGGACTGGAAGGGAGGGAATTGGGCTGCAGAAGTAGCAGGTGAGGCATGTGTGTGCGCAACTCCACTTGCACAAGTGATGAGTGAGCATGCATGCAGCTTCCTTTGCACAAGTGGTGGGAACATGCGCCTGCCGCTTGGACAAATGGAGCTGCATGCTTGCTCACCAGCCACTTGTGCAAGTGGAGTTGCACAGGTGCGCTTCTCACGGGCTGCTCCCACAGCCCAGTTCCGAACGGGCCTGGCCCGGTACTGGGCTAAAGTCCGGGAGTTGGAGATCCCTTCTCTAGTGGTATCCTAAAATTGTACATGTATAATTAAAAGTCCCTGGTGGACTTTATGGAACTTAGTCCCAAGTAAATGTACACACAAACTACAGCCAGAAATTTTGTATCTTTTCCTTCCATTGGAAAACAATGAAACGAGCAGTGTCACATTTATTTCATTTAAATAGTTTCCTAACTTTGACGTGTGCAATCATCTATTCATCTAGAGATCAAATAACTGGGCAATTCATGCATTCAAAAATGTACAATATTTCTCACCTTTTTGTTAGTAGAATTAATATACAAAAACTTCATATACTATTAAACTGCATGTTCTCTCTAAAAATTAATGTTCAAGCAGACTCATGATAATTTGCTGGGCAGGCTAATGGGATCATATTGTTCTATGTTTGGCAGCTCTCCTTTAATTAATTAGAAACCATACTGTTTCAGTATATCAGTTAATTGATGAAATTTTCTTGATTTTAATTATAAAAAGACTGGATGTAATTCTTATTGAATGGAACTCTACGAGTGTCAAGCTCCATTAGAAATTGGATATGCATTCAGTTGTAGACTTATTGTGGGCTTGTTACTGTACTAAAATCTTTCAAGCAGAACAGTAACATGTTGTATAGAATTAGTATTGTTTAACTTGATAGATTTGGCTTGGCTTCCTAAATAATGTGACAATATATGAAATAACTGACATGGATTATATGTAAGATATCTATGTTTTATATATAAATTAACCTTCTGTATATCTGATGAGCATGTAAAAAAGCCATTGTGGCCTAATGGTTAAAATGCTGGCCTAGAAGCCCAGAGATATGAGTTGTAGTCCCAACCAGCTGGGTGACTTAGTAAAACAAACTCAAAAGTACATGTCATTCATATGAGATCATTTGATTATAACAGAGAAGTTAGAAGCCAGCTGGAAAGCCTAATCATAATTCCATTAGTAAATTCAAGAATTTTCTTACAGTGCTGCCTATTTGCTGGTGTTCAATCCAGGAATGTCAAAAGTATCATGTTTCCATGAAAATAAGACAGGGTCTTATTTTCTTTTGATTCCCAAAATAAGCACTTATTTTTGGGGAGGTCTTATTATTTTTGAGGTGCAGGAGGTGGAGAGTATGGTCACCTCATGGCTGGTCTTGTGTTGCAATATTTTGGGGGAGGGCTTATTTTGGGGGAGGGCTTATTTTAGCACATACGCTCAAAAGCCCAATTGGGCTTATTATCCAGGGAGGGCTTGTTTTTGGGAAAACAGGGTACTGCTTGTATCATATGCAGGCTACATTTTTCTCTCACATAATTTATACACCCTTGCATAGTTTTTCTTTTTAGCTATATATACTTTTTATTTTTGGAATATCTTTTTATTCTTTTGACATAACAAAAATTCTAATTTGTACATATTAATCTGAAACCTATTGAAACAGATCTTTTCCCAGAAACTTCCTTCATAATTCTGAATTCTGTATATTTTATCACACCTTTGGCACTGTTATGAAAAATCAATTCTATCATCAGTAGTCCTGCTTTGTATATGTTTCTTGGTGTCATTTATAGAAAATTAATATAACGGTTGTACTCAACTTACCATCAGAAATGGGACTGGTATTGCCATCGTATGTTGTAAAATAACTCATCATATTACCAGACCTGATTTTACTACTATTTTTACGATGATTATTAAATATAGTAGTTAAGCAAAACTATCTTCCCCAATTGATATTGGTGCAACTAGTTGTAAATGCAAGCTACTTGCCAAACATCCAAATTGTAATAACATAACAGTGAGGCTATTGCAATGGTCATAACTTCAGGGACAGGTGGTAAATTAATTTTTCCAAGGCCCTCATAAATTTGAACTGTTGTTAAATGAACAGTCGTAAGTGAAGGACTACTTGTAATAGGAAAACAAGAATTCATCTGGATTGGATGTTACTTACATGTTCATCAGAATATTTTCTCTAGTCTGCAAATACTCTGCAAATACTCTGCAAGAGTGATAGGAATGAAAAGAGGAAAAATACATTTTTTCAATGATGTATGTCACTAAAGCTGCCTTCATATTAGTACAAGATGGCAGATAATAAAATATAGTATGTCAATTCTTCGATTACAGGATCAATTTTGGGGACATATATCATTTTGATTTAGTGATCAGGTACTTCACATAGTTATTGTATGAATGAAGCTTAGATCACATATCTTGATTTCCTCAGGGAAATTCAAAATGCAATAAATTGGTACAAAGAAGGCGCAATGGCTCAGTGGTCAAAGACGCTGAGCTCGTCAGCTGGAATGCTTGAAGGCTTGGGTTTGAGACCTGAGTGCTGAGCAACAGGGGGAGTTCCCATTACTTGCCTCAGCTCCTGCTCACCTAGCAATTCGAAAGCATACAAATATGAGTAAATAAATAGGTACCACTTTGGTGAGAAGGTAATGGCGTTCTCTGCACCTTGCTGTATAGTCATGCTGTTTATATGACTGTGGAAATGTCTTGGATAGTCATCAGAACACCTCAGCAAGCAAAGGCAGTTTATGTGTAAGTCAGTCAGAGGGTTTTGTTATTGTTTTGAACGTTATTTCACAAGGTTATTTGAATTTTCATCAAATTTTCAAACCGCTTGCATTTGGATAAAAGGTGGAGAACACATTTGTTATAAGGGACTGAAAATGCAGCTGAATGTGAAAATTAGATGGCTAATTACAATAGACTTATATAACTTTTTATCTCTTGCAGGTTGAACTTCATGTCCACTTGGATGGAGCCATTAAACCAGAAACTATTCTACACTTTGGCAAGTAAGTTAACAACTCTGGGTCTTCTTTTTTTTTTTTTTTTTAAAGCAACCATGCCATTGGTACTTTATCATTAATCAATATTGTTTGCAGGCTGTCTCTCAATTATTCTGTTTAAATTTTAAAAGGGAAACATTTTGATGTTTGATCCCATTTCTTATGTGATGTTGTTGATTTATGAATTTAGAAGTAAAATTCCATATAGCTACCTTGTTTTCCCCAAAGTAAGACCTCCCTGGATAATAAGCCCAATCGGGCTTTTCAGTACATGTGCTGAAATAAACCCTCCCCTGAAAATAAGTCACCTCTGAAAATATTGCAATACAGCAGCAGCCATGAGGTGACCATGCTTGCCGCCTCCTGCACCTCAAAAAATAATAAGACCTCCCCGAAAATAAGGCCAAGCACTTATTTCAGGGGTCAAAAGAAAATAAGACCCTGCCTTATTTTCGGGGAGACACGGTAGAACAACCAGGTTTTATTTCAGGAAGTAAATTAATGATGTAGTCATAGTTATATTTACTCATCTGTATAATCTACTTAAAAGTGGGCATCATGGTTCCCATCGTATCAATAATCTCTTCTATCATTTTCTCAGATGCGGTGGCTAAGACGCTGAGCTTGT